ACATCATTAATAAACATCAGATATTTCACTGGTAATGAATTAGCTACTCATTCCATCCCTTCCGAAAGGGCAGAGTTTACCAGATAACGAACAAGTAGTGAACAACCTGGCAGGAGGTTGGGTCAGAATGGTGATAGGAGTCATGCACCTCTAACCTTTGTGTCCTGTGAAAATGTGGAAGGAGGCTAAAAGTGTTTGTGTTAATGCGTTGGGGAATGATGAAATTCTGGCCACAAGAATTTTTGAGTAAATTCCAATTCTGTCATCTGAGGGGTGATTACTGAAACAAAGCAAAATCTGTCCTAGGTCTTTAAATTGGATCCTTTCTCCTAAGAAAGCTCATCACACTGATTCAGGCATAGATTGGGGGAAAAAATAAAAAAAAAGGTTGGACTGTTATTTTTTGGGGCAAAGAGCAGATGTAAGAGGCATAGATATAATTTCTTTACTTTTGAGAAATTCACATATCTGTTTCTCCTTGACTTTTAAAATTTGGTTTCATACAAATTATCTGGTTCTGTTGCACTTCATAAATGTTTTTTTGCTTCATGTGCCAGTTTGTTTGCTCTATCTGAATTTTGTGAGGAAACGTTCTCATGCTTATATAACACCCTATAGTGTAAGTAACAGCTTGTGGGTTGATATTTGTGCCAGTAGTATTTCCACATAACCTGTTTTATCGTGGCTATCATAAACTGGAAAAGTTAGGTGCTTACCACTTGGAGGAAGTTTTAATTTGTTGGAACTAAATTCTTGTGAAAAGGACTTTTTTTCCTGATGCAGTGTCACTGGATAATGTTTAAGGCAGTGCACCACTGGGCTATGCCTCTTTCATACACGTGAAGATGCTCTGCCATTTGTTTTTATTGTGAGCAGCTCTGAGGTATGCTTTTGAGTTCCCAGTAGGGGTACTGGAGAGTAGAAAGAATCAGATGCTGAAACTCCTGTGTACTCACAGAAAGGGGTTTCAGCGCTAGGACACGTTGCTGGGGCTGTCTGAAGAGAATAGTGCTGCAGCAGTCATATTTCTGGGGCTGGCTATAGACAAGTCTGCAGATCCTAATTGTGTTCATGTTGGGAGAGTGTAAAAAGCCAGGTATCAAATACCTGACATTCTAAAATGATCAACCACATATTTCTGCAGGTTGAAAGTCTGCTCTGAATCCCCTTTGCTTCCTCTTAGTATCAGTCCTTTAAGCTGCTGTTCAGAAAGAAGTATGCAGCAGTTTGAGTAATGTTTGTAACAGCTGTTTTCAGTGTGTTTCACGTACTCTTTCCCCGTTATTTACTAAAAGGCAAGCAGTGCCTAAATGTTTCTAGTCCGCATGATCTGCTGATTTCAGTACCAGACTGATAGGGAGGAAAAGTGCTTGCTCCTTTGTAATCCCCCGTCTTTCTTTCCTCCTCCAAGAAGAACCAAGCAGCTATGTACGTGTGGCAATGGCCATGTGAATGTCCTGAATTTTCTGCTTTGCGGATGAGTAATTCTGCTTTGCTTTCCCAGAGTCCTGACAGCCTCTGCTTAACAGCCACATGACTTGCACAGAATGCGAGCTTGCGGTTAACCCTTAACAAATCTGTCCTGTTTGGTACTATTCAAATAGCTTCTGTGACCTGGATTACGTGATTGAGTGGTATCAGTTGCCTCCTTGTGTCCTCTGCACTTGACTGAGGCAGAGGGAGGTTGTTGGTCCAGCCTGCAGGTGGGTTTTGGCAGCCTGCGTTTGCCCACTTACCTTTTGGGCTGCAAACTCCATGCTCAATCTGCAAACCACTGTTTAAAACCTCACTTGTGCAAGGATGACTCCTTGGTTTTCTCTCCCCCAGTGTGTGTGGGGTTGGGTTGCAGGAGACCCACATGGCTACTGTCCTTTGCTTCTAGTCTGTTTTGATAAATTTATCCTTTAATTGTACGCTAAGCTGCGTCCTAGTGTATGTTTTTGAGCAAGGAAAGAGTGGCTGGGACTTCGGGGTATAAGCCAGCCTTGTGTTTGAGCAGCAAGCCTTGCAATAAGGAAGCTAAATGACTATAAGCATTCTTTTTTGTATTTTGCTGAGATTAGCACTTGGCTTAACTCATTGCTTGTTTCCATAGTGACTCCATAGTAACTGTTTTAAGAGCTCTGAAGTTTATTCAGGCGCTTCCAGGCTGACTTTTTATGAAAGTTTTCTTTTCTTCTGAGCTAATGGTGTGGCTGTCATTGACTCCCATTAGAAAGGCTGCCAAATTGGTCCCATGCGGTGCAATCCGGACTGGTGTGGTGCAGAGCTATGCCAGCTGCACATTTTTAACATGCCCTGTGCAAGCAAGCCCCTGGGGAAGGCTAGAGTGGCCTCTTGCTCTTCTTCATGGGGCTGTGCTGAAACGTTTTCTTTTTAGACAACATCGACAACATTGTTCACTTGATCTGGGAATCACTTGCAAAACTGTTTATTTCAGGTGTTCAGATTTCCAGATTGATTTCAGGCATTCAAGTTACAGGTGTTTGGAAGTTTATTGATTTAAAAGGTTATTTTTTTCCTGTGTTTATTTGTTACGCTTCAAATGTAAAATGCTGGTTGTAACAGCACTACTTGGTAAAACCCTTCTTTCTCCTCATCAAATGTGCTCTTTTCTGTCTGTACTGTCTCCATCTCTCCTAAACAGTGTCTCTCCTTGCCGTGGATTTTCCGGTCTGTCCCCTCAGCTGTTCTGCTTTACTTTGCAGCCTGATGTTGCTCTGGAGGGGCATATCTGGGACCAGTACAGGGACCCCTTTCTGTTCTGAGTTTTGATGAACTTGTGGGAATATAATGGGGAACAAAGCTGCTGCCACTGGGATGGGAAATGTGTTCTAATTGTTGGTCTTGGAAGCATAAGCTATAACGAAGAAGGATTTCTCCTGGTGACTCTCATCTGTAGCCTTGCCCCACTGTCTCCTTGTTAACCCTGGTGCCAGACTTGTCAACCGGTGTTGCTGCTGCCTCTCATACCTCACCAAAGATAGATTCGTTTCTCCAGCAGTAAAATGCTTATTAATATGGTACCTCTTTCTGGAGGTAACAGGTGCTTGATGCACTCAGACATTTAGCTGAATTTCCCTATTGTAGCTGTGAGCTCCTTTTCTCTGCGGGCCTTTAACTGAGCCTGTGGGAGGTAAATTCAGGATTTTCAGGATTCTCGGCTTCTTCAGGATTCTCCATTGTGCCTTGAGGCAGGGTTTGGAGGGAGAACTGCAGAAGAAAGTAGAGTGAGGGGTATTACAGCTTTGAAGTCTTGTTGGCCCTCACAAAGGGGGAAGGAAGGGTTTGTGACTAACTTTTATTGTGTGCAGCTCTAACAAAGGGCAAAAAACAACATTGCCTGAAGCCTCCAAGCTGTATGCAATTGTAGCTGACCTCTTCAGTTGGTCCTGGGTTGTACTGCCCAGAATATGTGCAAAATGGCTGTAACATACTGGGGGTTTGGGCCCTTAGTGCATTGAACTGCTGTCTGTGTGGAAGTGAGATAATGTCTTGTCTTTTCTTACACAACAGCCTGCCCAAAGCTAGAATGCAGCAGGATGAGCGAGCAAGTTACGCAGTGATTCTGACACGTCAGGTATTTAACAGAGCTTGCTGCCAGTTTAGTAATGTTTGGATCTTTGAGATCCTTTTCCAGTGGCATCCGTTAGAGAAAGAAAGAAAAGAGAGAATGAAAAATAAATCTACTGTATTACAGACACAATGAGCTCTGGATCAAAGTGGGATGGAGCCTGAAAGGTAATGTTTTCAATTTTGCTGGCCAGAGGGGCTGTGACTCGGATGGCATTGGGTAAACAATGAGGAAAGAGACAGTCCCTCTGGGAGTCAGTGTCTGACTTAACGAGCCAGCAGTTATTAAAAGATGAATACAGGAGAAGTGAACCGTGCTTTCTGGCTGGTAGAGTGGCTTTTTTTCTTCTTTCTTTTCTCCCTTTCTCTTGCATATCAAAGGCCTAATTTTAGAACAAGCCCTATTTATGGACTGTTCAGCCACTCTGTCTGCTTTACTCTTGTTCTAGAATAGTGGAAAATAGAGCTGGCGGGATCTCCCAGTGTCCAGAGTTCATCCCTGATGCAAGGCAGGAGAAAAAAGAAAAAGACCTCAATCTTTCTTAGCAGAGGTTCTGTATAATTTGTTTCTGCAGAGAGAGTTCCCTTCCCCTCCCTCAGTTCTTTCAGTCTTTCCTCGTGATCAAAGGCTGGAATAATGTGACCTGTGACTGCTCCTGACGTTCAGCAGAGCTATCTCCTGATCCATGCCTTTTTGAAGTGCTGGAGCTGCCAGGGCTGGGCAGAGTCCTCTTTTTGAGACTGGTACTGAGTATGGAGTTGGGTGTTGTTTTGTGTGTCTGTGGATTATACTCCTGTTCATACAGCACAGCACGATGATCAGTCGTGCTTTTTTTATGATACTGTAAGATTGTTGGGTCCACTTCAGGCTATAAATCAATATACTCTGAGATCCTTTTATGCTAATTGGCTACTTCTGCCCCACTCTGGATCTGTGTAGACAATTTTCTCCTTCTGCTCAGTAGTTCTTTGTGTTTCCTCCCATTACTTAGCAAGCCCCCACCTCCCCCCTTCCATCTCCCTCTTCTCCCCCGGGGATGTTTTTCTGATTTATCAAACAAAATTTGTAACTGTCATCTTGTTCTGCAAAATTCTGAGCAGCAATTGTCTGCCAGTGCAGTAAGTGAGCTTAGTTCCAGCTGAAATACTGAACATGGAGGGGGAAGAACCCCCAGTGTAGGTGAAATTTGAAAGTGAGCCTCTAATGACCCCATGAGAATGCCTTTTTTTTTTTCTTTTTTCTTTTTAATACTTTTTTTGTTTCTCTCCTTTGTGTCTACATTTCACACGGTGTTTCCGTAGCCTGTATCACTTGATAGAAAGACAAAATCCTGGAAACACTTGTGTATTTGGCATCAACTTCTGCAAGTAGTAGTTAAGGGCTCTGTCAAATTCAGCTCTGATGGTGTAAGGAAGCTGGTCATGCTGTAGGCACTCTGTGTTCCCGTTTAAAGGCTTTTTATCAAGTGAGGCACTCTGATAGCAACGCTGTTGGCTGCCAGGTAAATCTGTCCCCTCCCCAGGTTTTGCAATACTGAGGATCTGCATTGGTCTGAAGCTCTGTCTTCAGGAGGGGTGAAGGGAAGAATGCTCTGTACGAAATCCCTCTGCTGGGAATCCTGCAAGAGGTATTTCGGCGGGGGGCAGGGGGTCTGTGCGTCTCTTCGCTCCTTTACGGGGCTGAAGCTTAATTGGAAAAAAGCCGCAGATCAGGGCGCCCTGTGTGGAACTAGAGCAGGGTTAATTCATGCAGAAGGGCTCGTCTCGCAAGTGGGAGCGCTGAGCAGAGGGAAGAAACCTCCTAAAATCCTCTCTTAACTTTCCACAGATTCCCCATGGCGCTTTGCTGCCCACTGCGCCGGCGGGAGCTGGTCGGCCCCCCCAAGGGAAGGAAGCGGGGGGCAAAGCAGGGCAGGCTGCGTAGCAACTGCATTGGGAAGTGGTAACAATTCCCAAGTGGGGCAGTAACAAAATCGATTTTTCTCCCCTTCAGCTTGGCAGCTCTCCAGGTGCCTGCTCTGGCACAATGAAGTGTGTAGCTGGGGAGGGGAGGGACTTTGGGTTGATGTGGGGGGGGGGGGACAGAAGTTTAATCATTGAACCGATCACTCTGGATGGATTTATTTCTGGACTCAATTTCCCAGGAACTCCACTATCTCACCCTGGGGGAAATGCCTCAGCTGAAGTTTCTCTAGCTCCAGCTTCGTGAATCAAGACCCGTGGCTTTGGTGTTACTCACAGCAGCTCTGTCACTACTGACTCATCCATCTGCTTCAAGAAAATGTTTGCCGTCCACTTGCTAGCTTTCCATTTCACAAAGCTAAAAGAGGATCAAATAAAAAAGGTAAGATGCAGCGTTAGCTGATTCCTCTTTTGAGAACTCTGTGACTCAGATTACTGTGTGGTCTGCAGTATGTAATGCAGACTAGATAATGGGATTACCTACTAAAACCATACAGCCAAATGGAGTAAGAAGTATTTGGAACCTAAACCGTCTGATACATGTGAAAATAGATCTGGTTAGTGCTTTTCCCTGCACAGTTATAAGTTCTTTTCCAGTAATGGAGCAAATGATCTTCAGTAAGGAGAAATGGTGCTTAAACTTTATGGTGCAGTGTAGTCCTGAGGGCAGAAAGGAACCTCTTGCTGAATCTCCTTCCAAGTGTAGAGTGAAGGGTGGGATTTCTAAAGCTGAGTGGGAGTCAGAGTCATTCACATTGTAGCAGGGGTAGGGAAGACTCCTGGTGTCTTTGGGCCAGGTCTTCTGGGTTCAAGAGACAGTTCCAGCTAATTTTGGTGTGGAAGAAGTGCCTGTGCCTCCTCTCTGGTTATCCACACTTGGCTGATCACTCTGATGTTTATAGATGTGACCTTCTGTTACAGTTAGAAAAGCTCAAGATGGCCCAGATCTGAAGCCATCAGTACTGGGAGTGAGCTGCCTAATGGTTGTTCTTCCTTATTCTACTTTCATGGCCATGCTCTACTGGGTTTTTGGCTTTCCATCATGAGACCATGTGGGACCTGTAAGCTTCTTGGGTCAGAGGTCCTCTGGTTTCCAGACATGTCCCCTGTGGGTCCTCTGTTCTCCTGGCATCTCCATTGAATGCTTTCTGGTGACCATTGTTGCCAGGCTCTGTCATCTTGTTTTCCAGCCAGCTGGAGGTGAAGCTGTCGCGTGGCAGTGCAGGAGATCCAAGGTCCTGTTGGGTAGCTGAGCTCATCAGCAAAGCGAGGAACATTGGGTTGTCTTCTCTGTGCCCTTTCTTAAACATGGTGTGGCTTGTTCTTAGGGGCCTTCTTCCACTAATTCTGCCTTGAAGAGCAGCATTCCAAGAGAGGTCCTGGTATCTCAACAGTCTCTGACCCTGTTGCTCAGTCATAGCCCTTCTATCCCTAGGGTTTAATATGATCAGAAGGGGGCCCCAATGTCCTTTCCTCGTGTGAGGATCAGAAGGTCCGTCTGCACCGCTGAGCTCATCAGCAAAGCGAGGAACATTGGGTTGTCTTCTCTGTGCCCTTTCTTAAACATGGTGTGGCTTGTTCTTAGGGGCCTTCTTCCACTAATTCTGCCTTGAAGAGCAGCATTCCAAGAGAGGTCCTGGTATCTCAACAGTCTCTGACCCTGTTGCTCAGTCATAGCCCTTCTATCCCTAGGGTTTAATATGATCAGAAGGGGGCCCCAATGTCCTTTCCTCGTGTGAGGATCAGATCTAAGATCTCTCATCTAGACAGTGCTGTCTCTTCTTACTTTTTTACTAAGAAAGTAAGAGATCTTGTGGTTTAGTGCTTGGGTGGACCGGCCTCTTCAGAAAAACACCCGGTAGTTGAGGGAGGACTTCCCTGAAGTGAGGACAGTGGAGAGGAGAGGGCAGAGGGATTTGGCAAAGCCATTAAAAAACATAACTCTTCCTGCTGGGTGCAAACTAGCCCTGCCTGAAGGCAAGAGACCAGAGACCATGTGCTCCTTGGAGTTCTCTTTTAAGAAGCCCAGTGTAGGCTGTATGGAGCAGAGTTGATTTCTCCCTAATTAGAAAGAAGGAATGCCTTCCCACCCCTCCCTCCCTCCCCAGGCTTATTTTCTCACTAAGATCTCTCATCTAGACAGCGCTATCTCTTCTTACTTTTTACTAAGAAAGTAAGAGATCTTGTGGTTTAGTGCTTGGGTGGACCGGCCTCTTCAGAGAAACACCCAGTAGTTGAGGGAGGACTTCCCGAAGTGGGACAGTGGAGAGGAGAGGGCAGAGGGATTCTGGCAAAGCCATTAAAAAACATAACTCTTACTGCTGGGTGCAAACTAGCCCTGCCTGAAGGCAAGAGACCAGAGACCATGTGCTCCTTGGAGTTCTCTTTTAAGAAGCCCAGTGTAGGCTGTATGGAGCAGAGTTGATTTCTCCCTAATTAGAAAGAAGGAATGCCTTCCCACCCCTCCCTCCCCAGGCTTATTTGCTCTACAGTGGCAAGATCAAGAGCCTTCCTCCCATGAAAACAGTGCTGTTTCCATAATTGAGGCAAGACACTTAAAAACATGGACTGTCCTTGTGCACTGGGAGGGAGGCAGCACGACAGTTTGGTGTTGCACGGCCTGGCCATCCCTGTGTTTACAAGCAAATGGGGTGTCAGCAGGCCCTTGCTCTGGCTGTAAATCAGGACAGAGAGTCAGCAGGCTCTCTTGGGCTCTGTCTTATCTAGTTCCTCAGAGAGGACTGTCTCCTTCTATGGTTGTAGGTAAACAGGGTGGGGAGTGCAATTTCTGTGGGGAACACGGAGTTAGCGCGTGTTCTCTGCAAACAGACATGGTCATTTTTATTACTGTTTAGTTTTTTTTTTTCCCACAGGGACTTCTATCACAAGGATATTTAGGTCTGTGTGAGAGAGAGTGAGTGCTGTATGTCTCCAGTCATTGTATTTTCTTTTTTTCTTTTTTTTTTTTGATGTGCCTAAAAAAGCAGCAGTGCTGATGCTTGGGTTGAGATGGTGGATCCTACACAGTGATGGGGCCTCAAAAAAGGCCTGGAGGAAATTAAGTGCTTTTGCAGACGAGGGCTACAAAGAAACATCTAAATAATGGCCTTTTCAAGGCACAGCTGTATCCAAAGGCAGCTGCTGCTGCTTCCCAATTGCATCTTGTGGTTTAAGACTTTGTCCTCCCTGTGTGTATGTTTCGCTCTTAGGTAAGTGCTGGAGTTACTTTCAGGGCCCTGGCTCTTTACGGTGGGTCACTGCTGACCATCAGTTTAAAATAGGACTGTGAATAGGTAATTAGTTTGTGCCTCATTAATATAGGTGGCTAGTCCAAATTGCAGAAGAGGCCAATTTATCTACAACCTGTGTTCTCTGTTTAAACAATGCTACCTTTCAAATCCTGCCTCGTGGCTGGTAGGATTTTTTTTGTCCATGTTCTCCCAACCCTCCAGACCTCCCTGTGTAAATGGGACTAATGCTCTGAAAACAGATAAAGCAGTGTAATATTGTAACCCAGGGTGCAAGAGCTGAGTGTTGGGAGGTGTCTCACCTCTCTCCCCTGCCCACCACCTCTGGCTCTGAGTCTTATGTCACGGGGAGCAGGATGGTTAACACAGATTACCCTCCAGGGGACATCCAGCTGTTTGGAGCACAGGGTTATTATGCCTGCAACCAATTTATCTACAACCTGTGTTCTCCTCTGTTTAAACAATGCTACCTTTCAAATCCTGCCTCGTGGCTGGTAGGATTTTTTTTGTCCATGTTCTCCCAACCCTCCAGACCTCCCTGTGTAAATGGGACTAATGCTCTGAAAACAGATAAAGCAGTGTAATATTGTAACCCAGGGTGCAAGAGCTGAGTGTTGGGAGGTGTCTCACCTCTCTCCCCTGCCCACCACCTCTGGCTCTGAGTCTTATGTCACGGGGAGCAGGATGGTTAACACAGATTACCCTCCAGGGGACATCCAGCTGTTTGGAGCACAGGGTTATTATGCCTGCATCATATTTGTTCATACAACACTGAAGTCTGGCTCCCCACTTTAAAAGCATTTGGATGCTGACAGATTCTTATTTTGCTGTGTTAATCCTTTGTTGTACCCAGCTGTGTAGTTTCTAGGCCACCTTAATTACAGGCACGCATCCAGCCCTGCAGGTAAATGTCAGTCCAAGCAGTGTGTGGTCTTGAAGACAAAAACTTTAAGTTTTGCCCTGATTAAGCTGTACAGAAGCACTGATTAGTTTCTTGGCCGGTTTGTCTGAATGAGTGTCTGCTGCTTCATAGATGCTTTTGGTTCCCTTTAAATTCAACTGGCCTTGATTCTGATATATGCTGCGAGTTATAGATCCACAAGAAAGGATATTGATTGCACTCAAAAATGTGTTTGTTTTAGATGTAATCCTGGAATCACAAGAGAACGGAGGGCAAAGCTGGAGTGAGAAAAAGGCTTTGAGCTCTGGCTTGGCATGCCAACAAATTTAATTGTCTGTGGAGTGAAGCAGTAGCTGAATAGATGTTTTCAGGTTGTGGCTGACACGCTTGGGTACTGATGACATTTTCTGGAGACCTGACTCAGGTCAAATTCTCTCCAGGTCGAGACACTTTACAGTTCTAGTTCATTACATGTACAGGAAGAGAGAATGGTGTAAAAATGGCTTGTTAGGGTCTCAAGCAAGTCTCATGGGCTTATATATGTTGGCAAGCTACTGAGCCATCAGAAAAGACGGCTGACTTTTCCACGGTAATTCACCAAGGCTGCATTAAACATTTTCAAAACACAGTTTTTATAAGAGTTAATGTTGAGTTCTCATCATGTCCTGGAGCTTGCTGGCACTGATGGTCATGGGAATTCAGGTGCTGAGGTCAAAAATGAAATGAACTCGTAGAATGAGGTGGGGTTTGCGTAGGTGGTATGCTCACCTGCAGCTTGTTACGTATGTGGAAGGAATTCTGCTGTCACCTTAGGATCTGTTTAGCCTCATATCCATCATGTGGGTGGGAAGGAGCATAGTAATTCTTGTCTAGCATAATGCAGGGTGCTGCTGGACCAGGAGTTCAGGGTTTTCAGATCCCTCATGCCAAACTGCACTCCTGATAGTTAGAAAAGTAGTTAGAAAAGTGGCTGGGAGGTTCCTGCATTCTCTCTGCTTGCAGACAGAGATAAAGGAAGCCTCCCAAGCACAGGTAGGAGAGTCTTCCTGTAGCGTGAAAGCACTTCTCATCCCAGGCAGCTTCTGAGCCCCGAGGAGCCTCCCGAGTAACACCTTTCCTCTTTCCAGGTTGACAGGTACCTGTATCACATGCGTCTCTCCGACGATGTCAGTTCTCATCCGGGGCAGCTGCTGAGCCCCGAGGAGCCTCCCGAGTAACACCTTTCCTCTTTCCAGGTTGACAGGTACCTGTATCACATGCGTCTCTCCGACGATGTCTTGCTGGACGTGATGGCTCGCTTCCAGGCCGAGATGGTGAAGGGCCTGGGGAAAGACACGAACCCCACGGCCACAGTAAAAATGCTGCCGACATTTGTGCGCTCGCTTCCCGATGGCTCAGGTGGGTTCCCCCAGCTCCATCACAGCCGTGCTGGCTTGGGAAGGGGATGGGTCCCCATCAGCACGACAGCACAGCAAAGACACAGGGTAGGCTCCAGGTCACCGAAGCCTTTCTCATGCTGAGAAAGCAGCTGTGTATTGAGGAGACAGCAGCTTGGGGGAGTGTTGGCAGAGGGGGTTTTTTCCGTGCACCGGGTGGATTTTGACTTAGCGCTGCTTGTTTGCGGAAAAGACCTAGCAAGTGCTCCAAAACCAGCCCCTTTCATCCACAAATGTGGCTGTACCTTGTGCAGGCCTTGCTGCAGGAGCTGTAGCTGGACACGGCAAGGGCAGCCTCTACAGCCCAGACCCTGCAGTGCAGGGTGCTGCAGGTGCAGGCGATGCTGGGGCCATGGCCTCTGTGGAGCTGCAGGGAAGGCAGGATGATGCTGCTCCTGTCTTCTCACTGGGAGTGAAACCCCTCACAGTGGCTGCAACGTTGCGTTCTCAGAGCTGTGAATCCCCTCTCAGCACTGTTGCCCCAAAAAGTGATCCCCTCCTGCCCTTCCTTGCCTTCTGCATTGGGGAAATCTGCTTCTGGATTGGGTCTACCAGGAAACAGCCTTCTTCAGCTGGATCCTTGTTTCCATTTGCCCCCCGAGACTTAAACAGAGAGGGAGAAAGTGCAGTGATGTCCTCTGGGAGGATGTGAGGTGAGGTAGGATCTAAAAGCCTGTCTTGTTCGGAGAAGTATGTACATCCAAAATAACTCTCCTGGCTCAGCTGGCTCCCGGCAGTGCAGGCTGACAGAAAAATTATGTTTTTCCCAGGTTTAACCAAGTCTGTGAATTTGTGCAGGACTCTGTGTCTGGCCTAGGTCAGGACTCAGTGTATGACAGCTGTGCAGAACAATTAAGAGAAATGTTTCCTTTGTACCGCATTTCCAGAGGATTTTATTTCTTCTGAAGGTAATTTTCCTGCAATTAAATGAGAAATAACAGCTTTAATGGCATAAAGGGAACATTTGGAGGCTAGTACCTTGAAATGAGGGATGTCTGCCCCTCAAATTGCCTGGTTGGAAAAGGGCACTCTTCCTTTTGCTGCAACCTTCATGAAAGAAAAAGAAATATTAGCTTAAGCCTTGCTATCTCGGTGACTGTCACTGGTCCTGAGGTCTCACGTGGCACTGACCCTGGCCTGAAATAACAGGGAACCCCTGATGTCAGGAGACTTGGAAAATTGCGTGTATCACTGTTGCAAGACTTCATGTTCCTCAAGGCCAGCTTTGGACAATGCTCTCCTGGCCCGCTGTGACCTTTCCGCTGTGTCAAGGACATGCTGCAGGGTCAAGCTGGGCTATGTCTTATTGACACACCGCCTATTTTAAGTATCACATCGATTTTTCTATTTTTGCCCTCTTACAAAATCCTTATTGGTTACAGACAAAACTTCCAGCAGGTTTAAACATCTCAAACTTGGCTGGATTTTCCCATTTGCAATAGCAACGAACTTTCAGATTTGTCGGCGCCCTCAGCATTGGTAGCTGAAATCACCCGTATGGAGCATCAGCAGCCTTTAATCATTTAGGGATTAATGGTGTGACTAATGTTACAGTTTACTGAGTAACCCAATTTGCCTCTTCACCTTTGTGCTGTCTGACCATGGTATTACAGGTAGAATTTCCTGCTTCGTTCCCTTTCAGGGCCAGACTTGATAAAATTGTCAGGTGTTTGGACTGTGAAACAAAGATCATGCAAAGCTATGCACGTACCACTGCATTTTCCTTTTGGGAAGGACCTTCTCCTACGTGTGGGATAGATAATTGTTTTATTGTAGCGGTGAGGCCTAACTGTCCTTCCATCTGAGGTCTCCTGCCAGAGAAGAATGTATTTAAGAGTGTTGCCAACTGAGAAACATAATGGTACTTTTACAGAAACAGCCAAAGGCATTTGGAAATTATGGTGTTGGTTGATTTTGGGTGGCAAATTAGCTCTGGTTGGCCTTGCAGTTGCTTTTGGGCCTCTCTTCCTGGGAAGCTTATTCTTCTGCAGCTTGAAAACATGCTGCTGTGGAAGGAGCGGGGTGTGTAAAACCAAGCTGCTAAATAAAAATGAAATTAACTGCCACATGGCACACTAACAGGGTGGACCTGCTACCCTTGCTTTGGGTTGCCAGCCTGTCAGCCTTCCCAGTGATGCTCTCAATCCTGTAGGATAAGGACCAGCCATTATGGAGCAGGAGAACCTGTGGCCACGATGAGGCAGGGGACCTGGACTGTGGCCTTCAGCGTGGCGTCTGGGCCATCCAGACCCAGTAATGGTTGCCCATTTTGCCCACTTGTGTTGCAGAGAAGGGTGAATTCCTTGCTGTTGACCTGGGTGGCTCCCAGTTTCGTGCCCACCAGGTGAAGGTGTCCGATGATGGGAAGCAGAGCAGCCAGCTGGAGAGCAAGTTTTACCCCACACCCAAGGAGGTCATACAGGGGAACAGAGCCGAGGTAGGGCACGCAGGCTCTTCTGTGGTGGTGGTGCTGGTGCTTGAGTGCATGCCTGCTGTACACAGCCTGACTCTGTCTTCTCCTTTCTCATGCAGCTCTTTGATTACGTTGCTGACTGTCTGTTAGACTTCATGGAGACCAAAAATCTGAAGCATAAGAAGTTACCTCTTGGCTTTACATTTTCTTTCCCATGCAAACAGACCAAATTGGAAGAGGTAAGATGCAAAAAGAAATATTTTTGGCAAGCCGAGCTCCTTGCGGAACCCCGAGAAGCTATTGCATCAGAGTGTTACTGTGTGACCTTTGTGTGGGGTCATGTTTACACTGCGCTCTGGAGAAGGCCTGGATGACCATTAGCATTTAGCTAAACTTGACTACCATTCAAACACTCATTTCTGATCTCAAGGCAACATGATCTTTAAGCTAAAGCTATTCTTTTACTTAATCAATACTCAATTCCATAGTAACTGCATGCCCTTGTATGAAGACCTGTTAGTCTATAAAGCACATATTTTTGTGTCCTGAAGCATGTTTCTTTTTTATAGTTGATTTTAAATAGGAAAGACCTGAAGCTGAGCTGTTTGAGAGACCACATGGGAAAACGAAGGGCTGGTTGCAATCATTTTGTGGCCTCTTACTCTAGCCTCTCTTTTATTTCTAGGCACCTGTGCTTTGGCTCCCAGTCCTGCAAGCACTTTGTGCTTAAGGCTGTTAGTCTGTGATGAGCATCATAAAGCCACACGTGCTTTAAATGAAGAACAGGGAGAAGCATATGCAGGCTTGGGACTTGATTACTGTACCTGTGTAGTTATGTTTGTACTTACAGGCACCTCAGAGTGAGGTGTTCTGCTGTGACATGTTTTGGCCCACATTTAACACGTGGAGAGACATTGTAGGCTTCTCCATGAATGTTGGTCTTAGCTGTCTTTATGGCAGGTTTGTATGCTAAAGTTGGAGCTTTTGGGTCACTGGACTGTTACTTTGCAGGGAGTTCTTCTTGCCTGGACAAAACACTTCAAGGTCCGAGGAGCTCAGGACACCGATGTGGTCAGCTCTCTGCGCAAGGCCCTCCAGAAGCATAAGGCAAGTTTTGTACCTGCAGGAGGTCAACCTGAGTTGCCCCAGGTTGTCCTCTTGGGGAATCAGCTCTGGGTATGTGGGTTGTTTGGGAACTGTCAGACATCCTTCAAGGACAGCCAGTAATAAATGTCCAAGGTAGCTGTATATCGAGTAGATCTGTCTCTCTTGGAGCTGAAGTCATGGAAGGTGACATGCAGCTTCAACTCAGGCTGCCCCAGGCCAGTCTAACAGTGATGCCAACTGCATGTTGATAAACCAGGCTGGCCCTGACAGTGAACCAGTATGGCCCCACTGTCTAAGGGAGTCTGTTGTGAACCTACTTGGTAAGATGTGGATGCACACTGTGTTTCATAGCCTGCCTTGTGGGATGAAGGTTGGAAGGGGAGATCTCATCTCAGATTGGTGCGCCTAACTCTACCAGTGCTTGCCTGTGGGATGGAGAGGCTGAGGGAGCTGGGGTTGTTTAAACTGGAGAAGAGGAGGCTGAGGGGAGACCTTATCACTCTCTACAACTCCCTGAAAGGAGGGTGTAGAGAGGCAGGGGTCGGTCTCTTCTCCCAAGTCACAGGTGATGGGACAAGAGGAAATGGCCTCAAGTTGCACCAGGGGAGGTTCAGATTGGATATTAGGAAAAATTTTTACACTGAAAGGGTTATTAAGCCTTGGAATGGGCTGCCCAGGGAAGGGGTTGCAGCATCATCCCTGGAGGTATTCAGAAGATGGGTTGACATAGTGCTTAGTGACATGGTTTAGTGATAGTTTTTATCAGGGTTAGGTTGATGGTTGGACTAGATGATCAGATGATCTTAAAGGTCCCTTCCAATCTAGACAGTTCTAATGAAGTGATTGATTGTAATTTTTAAGCTCAGCAGAAAGACATGATTAAATCTGCCCTTGAACTAGTTTATACCTTTGAATAACATTATGTTTTAATATTTTGGAAAGCCTTTTTTTTTTTTCATGTTGCTATCAGTAACTCCATCTAAGAAATAAAAAGCATCTTTCTGTACCTTGACATCTTTGTAGCAAAGTGGAAATTCTTCTGATTCCTCAGATGGTAAAAATCCAGCCGTGATTTTGGTTCACTTTTTTCTCTGCATCAGCCTTGCTGTAGTTAGCAGGAGCAAAGGATCTAAGGCTTCCTGGGTAAATCCAGCCCCCTGCTAGTGCTGGCATCTGAGTTACAAGAATCCTTTGATAACTTCGATTTTACTTTATCAAGATACTTTAGCATGAAAGGAAAACTGCACAGCTGTGATGGAAAGGCTTTTTTATTTGAGTGTGATACTGGTGCATGGCCTTGTGTTGAATAGCTGTGTTTATGTATGTATATTTTCTGTCCCATTTGATGGGATCTGCTCCAGCAGTAGGACGTTATTCTATCATGCAGCCCATAAGGACAGATACATGGGTACTAACAGCACAAAATTCAAAGCTTTTCTGGCAAAGGAGGTTGGATTGGGGAAGTGCTAGCATAGCACAAAATTCAAAGCAATAACTTATTGCTTTTCTGGCAAAGGAGGTTGGATTGGGGAAACACAAATCCTGCAGGCAAAGATCCTGGCTGGCCAAGCAGTTGAGAATTTAGAGATGTTTGTTACTTTACAGAGTTGTGGGGATAGAGTTATAAAAGAAAGCAGTGTGTCTTTCAACTGAAGAGCTTTCCTGAGCCAGGCCTTCAAAGTACAACTGGGGGTGTATATCTGCATGCTGTTTAACACACAGGGGGCTTTCTAAGCTTTTTTTTTTTTTTTTTTTTTCCTGTTAATCACCCATCTTTATGCTATTAGGACATAGACCTTGATGTTTTGGCACTGGTCAATGACACTGTGGGAACCATGATGACTTGTGGATATGATGACCCGCGCTGTGAAATTGGACTCATAATTGGTAATTTTTTTCTGTTCACTAAGTAGTTTTTTTTTCCCCCCCCTCATTTGTTTAGTCCTAACAAATCTGCAGTAGAAGGGAGTGTCCCAGTACAGGAAAGAGCAGGAAGAAAATGGAAAAAACAATGGTCAGATTTTCAAGCCTGGCTGCCTTCTGTAAAGCAGCTGTTTTTATGCTGATCACATTGCCATCAAATACCACAGTCCCCATTTTGTCTGGGTTCAGTTGTGACCAGCATACTAAACTTTTCTGCTGACTGTATAGAAAATGACTGTCGGTCTGTCCAGAGAAAGCTGAATTCCTCTCACGTCCGGTAGTTAGGATCAGCTATGCTTTCCACAGTGTCTCCACTTCACGCACCTTGGTGGCTTTTTTAAGGCACATAGAAGTACATTTGAAAAAGAAAAAATGTTTTGAAACAAGTCAAGCCTTGGATTAATTTCCAGAATTCTTTCACTCACTGTGAAATGATTCTTTAACAAGTGCAGATGGCTTGACATTTGCGCAGTAGAAGGGAGTGTCCCAGTACAGGAAAGAGCAGGAAGAAAATGGAAAAAACAATGGTCAGATTTTCAAGCCTGGCTGCCTTCTGTAAAGCAGCTGTTTTTATGCTGATCACATTGCCATCAAATACCACAGTCCCCATTTTGTCTGGGTTCAGTTGTGACCAGCATACTAAACTTTTCTGCTGACTGTATAGAAAATGACTGTCGGTCTGTCCAGAGAAAGCTGAATTCCTCTCACGTCCGGTAGTTAGGATCAGCTATGCTTTCCACAGTGTCTCCACTTCACGCACCTTGGTGGCTTTTTTAAGGCACATAAAAGTACATTTGAAAAAGAAAAAATGTTTTCAAACAAGTCAAGCCTTGGATTAATTTCCAGAATTCTTTCACTCGCTGTGAAATGATTCTTTGAATTCTTTCACTCACTGTGAAATGATTCTTTAACAAGTGCAGATGGCTTGACATTAGCATCCAGTTCCACAGGGTTATGTATTTATATTTTCTTCCTAAGACAATATATTGACTTATTCCCAAATGTATGTATGTAAAACAAACCAAAAGCAAACCTGGAACAAACAGGTAATTTATCCGTGCTGTCTCAATACGCACAGGGACTGGCACCAATGCATGCTACATGGAGGAGATGAGACACATTGTGCACTGTCTCCAATACACACAGGGACTGGCACCAACGCATGCTACATGGAGGAGATGAGACACATCGATCTGGTGGAAGGAGATGAAGGGAGGATGTGCATTAACACAGAGTGGGGGGCCTTTGGAGATGATGGTGCTTTGGACGACCTCCGCACGGAGTTTGATCGGGAGCTCGATCTGGGATCTCTCAATCCTGGAAAACAACTGTAAGTGATTCCCTGACTGGTTTGGCTCTGCAGTCTGAGTTCTTTGAATGTGTTTCCAGCATGTGCCTGTTCCCTTTGGAACAAGGATGGGGTTAAGTGAGCCTGAGTTGACTTGATCCTGGTCCTGTCCTACGCAGACCTTTCCCTTCTGAGAAGAGTGGGTAGCTTTCACACCTCCCTGCCTCACAGGCCAAGGGAATGCTGCTGCAGTTGCGAATATGTTGTTAACAATAGGTGGTTACTCTGGTATGGTGCTGTGGAGGAGTAGAGAGAGGAGGAAGGTAAACAAAGGGCATATTTAAAGCCTGGTTCAGCAAAACTGCTTCTACTGGCTGAGCTGCTTGCAAGCCTTTTCAAAATTCTCTTTAATCTCTCACTTAGCTTCAGGGACTGTTGCTGGGTCCCGGGAGTTCAGGATGGCATCCTATCTACAACTTTGCTCCCAAACCCCTTTTATGCATGCTTAAATGTGAATCAACCTGCATAAGAATATAATATGCTCATACTTGAACTCTTTGTAGCTCTGGCTCGCTGGTGAACACCTGTAATCCTTCCTGTGCCCCATTCCAGGTTCGAGAAGATGATCAGCAGCCTGTATTTGGGAGAACTTGTAAGACTCATTCTGCTAAAAATGACAAAGGAAGGTCTACTCTTCAATGGGAAAGCGTCAACAGCTCTGCTTACTAAGGGCACGATTGAACTGAAACACGTGGCTGCAATGGAAAAGTAAGAACTTGCGTTATGCTGTTTGAGAGTGGCGTTTAGTCTTTCACAAGCACAGCAATTATAGTGAGTGTGCAATTATAATCTCTGAGTACTGGGAACAGTCCTGAACTGTTCACCTTGATTTTGCTTTTGCCCAGGAGAAAATTTGATCTTTCTGTAAGCAGGAATTGGTGGAAGGTAAAGTTTTAGTGAAGTGTCACAGTGGAAAATGTATTGTTATCTGTCACAGATGCAGGCTGTTTAAATAACCTCTTTGGAGACCTGAATACATAGGTTGATTGTTGCAGTTTTCAGCTTCTGTCATGTGGGAATACTGGGGTTGTGGAGATGTAGTACAGACTCTGAATCAGCTAATGGATGACTACATGGAAAACTGACAGATTCTGGTGTTTTGAAGAGGGATCCTGGTCCTCCTTGTTACTCCAGGAATAATTTTCGTTGTTGCATTGAGTGAAGCTCTACGTCTATTCCTGTGCTCTCCTTTTGTGGAATAAATATTTTATCCTGTTCTATTCTTGGCTAGCTAATCAGTATGTCTCACTCTCACCAAAAACTGAACCACAAGAAGCAGCCTCTTAAAAGTCTCGTCTCTCCCCCGAGTACTTCTGGGAATAGTGTGGGAAAGACATTACTGGTTTATGGGAACCAATTATGGTGCTGCCTGATAGGTTGTGCCCTGGTCTTCTCTCATTTCTTTTTTTGAGCCAATGTGCAGATATTGATTTATGTGTTGCCTTCATATCCTTACGATGTGTTCTTTTGTTTTGGGGTAGATATAAGGAGGGTCTGAGCAACACAAAAGAGATCCTTACAGAACTGAACCTGTTCCCCTCCGAAGAGGACTGCATTGCTGTTCAGCACGTCTGCACCATCGTTTCCTTCCGCTCGGCCAACCTCTGTGCTGCTGCCTTAGCAGCCATACTGACCCGACTGAGAGAGAATAAAAAACTGTTAAGGATGCGAACCACTGTTGGGATTGATGGGGGACTCTATAAAACCCACCCCCAGTAAGTATCTAAAGAGGATTTGGTGATTACTAGCCACATGTTGGTGTTGCAAAGAGTCTCTGTCTGCATGTATGTGTGGCTTTTCAGAGAACTTCTGGTTTTCCTGCAGGGCTGAGGTGAGATCTGGTGGAGTGCAGAGGGTTCAAAACTGCCTCAGGAGCTGTAGGACTTGGGTGGGGACAACATGACACGTGGGATAGTGGTGTCTTGGGAAGGGCAGTTGATTCCTCAAGTGACTCCAAGGCACTTTCAGTTCACTGTGGATTTTTTCTTTTCTTTCTTACCTCCTGCTCTTTGAACCTGTGCTTTCCCAAACATTTCTGCCAAACTGGATGGAAGTCTGGTTGAAGATGAAGACTCTCACCCTCTGTTTGTGATTGTGACTGTCCACTGGCTTTTCTCCAGTGTTCCTCTCCCTTGGCACTGGCACTTTTCTAGAGGTATCTTCGCGTTCCTGTAAGTCTACAGGTTCTGCAGAATAGACAGAAATCAGGATCATTGTACCCATCTCTTAGACCAGTTTCTGACCTTGTGCTCCTCTTGACTGCCTTTCAGCATTGTGCTGTTGGATGTGTGTGTGTATTGGAAGTGTATGTGAAGTAAACCATGCGTGAAGTGCCTGTGAGAGTCTAAAGAAACTCCTTGCTCCTGCAGATATGCCAAACGCCTGCACAAGGTGGTGAGAAGGCTTGTCCCCAACTGTGATGTTCGGTTCCTCCTGTCGGTGAGCGGCAGCGGGAAGGGGGCTGCCATGGTCACAGCGGTGGCGTACAGGCTGGCCGCTCAGCGCAAGCAGATCGATGCTGCTCTCGCACCATTTCTGCTTTCCCTGGAGACCCTCAGAGAAGTTAAGAACAAAATGAGGACTGAGCTGGAATATGGGCTAAAGCGAGAGACGCAAGCCAGTGCCACGGTGAAGATGTTACCCACATATGTCTGTGGGACACCCGATGGAACAGGTAAAGTCAGTTCCTGATCACCTGGAGGTGGTTCAGGAAAGTCTGTATTCCCGGGGGGGATATGCCAATTTTTCTGGCATATGCCAGGATGATTTATGTTGGCCACCTGGGGCTTCCTGTCATGTTGTCTGGCTGGTCCTTCAGCCCCATGCTAGCAGGCCGATGGGATAAATGCCATAGGGAGCAGTGTGCTATCGTTGGCACAGAGGAGCTTCTTGGGGACGTGTGGCAGAGTATGCCATTCTGACTGGCAAACATGCTGCAAGAAATGCACCAAAAGGAAATAACTTTCTTCTCTTACAGAGAAAGGAAAGTTCCTTGCCCTTGATCTTGGTGGGACAAATTTTAGAGTTCTGCTGGTCAAAATCAGAAGCGGGAGGAGAAGATCAGTGCAAATGTATAACAAAATCTTTGCCATTCCTTTGGAGATCATGCAAGGGACCGGGGAAGAAAAATGCCGTAGGGAGCAGTGTGCTATCATTGGCACAGGGGAGCTTCTTGGGGACGTGTGGCAGAGTATGCCATTCTGACTGGCAAACATGCTGCAAGAAATGCACCAAAAGGAAATAACTTTCTTCTCTTACAGAGAAAGGAAAGTTCCTTGCCCTTGATCTTGGTGGGACAAATTTTAGAGTTCTGCTGGTCAAAATCAGAAGCGGGAGGAGAAGATCAGTGCAAATGTATAACAAAATCTTTGCCATTCCTTTGGAGATCATGCAAGGGACCGGGGAAGAGGTAACCTCTAATGAATGTTTAAGTGATTCAGCCAAGGCCTATTGCATGGGATTACAGTGAGATTTGTATGCTTTTTCTTTCTTTCCAGCTCTTTGACCATATTGTGCAGTGCATAGCAGACTTCCTGGAGTATATGGGGATTAAAGGTGCTCGGCTGCCTCTGGGCTTCACTTTCTCCTTCCCGTGCAGGCAAGCCAGCATTGACAAGGTAGGAACTGCAACACAGAACAGGTCAAATGGCAGCTGTGCATCTGCTTGGTAAATGACACAATTTGGATGAGGGTGACTTGCTGGTTTGGAGATCGCAAGCAAAAAGCTCTTCTTCAAAATCTTTTCTTCCAAGTAGGACTTTACAAGGTTGAAAAGAGAGAGGTGTATGTATGTGTGTGTGTGCACACAAATTAGTCTTTGGAGAGAATATTTCACCTGTTTTATGGGGATTTTATTACTCTACTGTGCAAATTAGCTGTGTTTCATGAGAAAGGTATCATGATATATGCATATGAGTAGGTAGAACTTTAACCTCTTGTATCTCATAAGAGGTGGATGTAACTTGCTTTTATTCTATAAAGATTAAGCCCTTAAGATAGTGAAATGACTGTATTTCTAATAGCCCAGGAATCTCGTACGCTGCCTTAACTCCTCAATGGCAAGAGATAACAGATGCTTCCTACTTGCTTAGCTACAGTCCCAGGATCCCTTCCTGATTGTGTTGCACAGCTCTGACAATCTAACTTCCACACTACAATAGTTTCTTTTTGTTGAGTATCAGTGTCAGAACTGAGCTTTTTGACAGATAACGTATCTTCATCTTTCCAGATCTGTTGTAAGAAAAAAAAAAAAAAAAAAAAGAAGAAATAATTTTCAATTATTTTGATGCATGTCCAAAGAGGGGCGGGGGAAGTTGTGCTGCTTAATTCTAGTCAAATATCTAGGATACCGGGGAAATGAGAGACTAGTATTGTATTGAATGCTTTTATGTCCTGAAGGGTTTCACAATATCTTCTAAATCTAGAAGCTAGTCTGTTCTGTCTCAATTTTCAGATCACAGTTGAGAGTTTTAGCAACAGGACTTGGCTATTTGTGGGGAAACCACTTCAATGTGCCTTCCAAACCTACAGCACAGTGTTTAGGTTTTGACAAACGATGGGGAAACAAATACCCCAGCAGTGGTGACCACCTGAGTGAGACCCATCTGTGTCAGAGTCCCATAGTATGTCACCTTATGTTTGGTCTTTTCCTGTTGCTAGAACTTGCTAGGGATTTTTTTAAGAGCAGCTTTTTCTCCCACTTGCCCTCTTTTTTTCTTATTTGGACAGAAAGTCCAGAGCCAGTTACTAACCAGAAGGTCAATTACATCATGTAACGTGGAAATTTACTTCTGTCAGGCCAGGTCACTATCCAAAAAGAAATAAATTAGAGTTGCCTGGATTAGTCACATCATACCAAGTGTCCTTCAGTAAATGAGCCAAAAATTAACTAGCAGATGTTAATTAATGTTTATTGGGTGTTTAATTATTTACAGCAAAAGTATTTTTTACAGTCTTCCTCCTAGATAATGCGATGACTACCTGCACAGGAGGTGAGATTAGAAGATTTTCTGAATAAGAGTGTTAGAAGGCACTGAGTTGGCCGTGTCTTGATAAATAGCTGAGTAAACTTGGAGTCACTACCATCAGCTGTTGAGTAACAAAGATACACGTGCACACACTGTGCACTAGACACTCACAGTAACCTGTTCAGGGAAACACATTATTTAATAAAAAAAAAAAAGTGTGTGGGGGGATGAAGTTGGAGACAAGAAAAGACTGATATTTGGAATGTACAGTCTTCTCTTTATCTCCACTTATGGTTTTCTTTTCCTTCTGTTTCAGGGAACGCTTGTGGGATGGACAAAAGGTTTCAAGGCAACAGACTGCGAGGGAGAAGATGTTGTTGATATGCTGAGAGAGGCCATCAAGAGAAGAAACGTGAGCTATTCTTTTCTGCTCTTTTTGGTGTATTTAATGCACCCTCCCTCTTCCTCTGGGACCCTGCTACTGATTGTGACTTGTGTTTTAGGAGTTTGACTTGGACATTGTAGCAGTGGTGAATGACACTGTTGGGACAATGATGACGTGTGGATATGAAGATCCAAACTGTGAGATTGGCCTGATTGCAGGTACAGTGATACTGAAGTGAGCTCTATAAGAAGGAAGCATGTATGCAGGTGCTAGGCTTCACACCCTATTTTGGAATTTGTAAAACAACATCTTTTACTTGAGTTTGATATATGATGTTACCAGTCACCTGGAGTTGACGGCAGATTTGTATGGTATTCGACAAGTAACATAATAACACCTGTAGCAGATAGGATCCTGAATCTGTTGGACTTTTGATCATATCTCTGATGGTGCCTCATGGTGTATGCATGGTGAAAAAATATGAGAACAGCAGATAGAGCATGAATCCTTGTTTTGACAACTGTATTGATATTTACTGTGTAGCCAGGTCATAGGCCTTGGAACAAGAAATATTTCTTTTTAAATCTTAATGAATTCTTTTTGGGCTTTCTAAATTACTCCCCTGTAGGTCCCTCCAAGTTTTCATCCAGAAATACATCAAAGCCCCATTTGGAAAATAGACTCTTCTAGCTGGCTAAGAACTGGTCTTCGTATCAGTTAATGTAACTCGTGTTGCAAGTGATGAGGCCCTGTTCACCAAATCGT